CAGTGACACAGGCAGATGGGGAAGTGAGACAAAAACACCCTCCCAGCCTCTGCCACCCTCTTGCTCCAGCCCTGGAAGGCCTGTGAATGAAACCATGAGTGAATCTGGATCAGTTCACCTTGGTCTGAGCTCCCAGGCTGCCCTTCCCTCCAGCCCCCTCCAGGAGTCTGGATCTGAGCTCCCAGGCTGCCCTTCCCTCCAGCCCCCTCCAGGAGTCGCCACCGAGCATGCATCAGGCATAGACATGGCCTGGAAGGACCAGAATCATCTGGTGACTTGGGGCTGCTGTGTGAGTTAGAGAATGAGGGCCCAGTGGAAAGACAGACAGACACAACCTCTGTTCACTGTCTTGTCCCTGGATGGTCATATGGTGGGGATGGGGCCAGTCCTTAGACCACCTGTCTGGATCAGGCCCCAGAACTGTTGCCCAGCCCTGCAGAGGTCCTGGGCCCCAGGCTGTGGCGGCCTGTGACTCCCAACAGAGCAAATCAGAGGAGGGGACACTGTGAAGTCAGCCCAGATCCCCTCTTCAATGTGATCACCTAGCTCTGCTGAGAACCCAGCAGCTCAGAGCTGAGCCCTCACGGGGAAGGGCTCTTGGTTGCAAAAAGCTTCCTCAAGTTTATGTCCCTTCTCAGAGGGGTTCAGTTTAGTGAACCAAGATCTCAAGTCCCTGCCTCAATTAAGATGCCACTGAATGAAGGGGCTCCCAGCTCTGGAGCTCACTATGTGGACGCCTGAGGCCTCAGTGCCAACCCCATGATGAGTCAGGTCTCCTCCTGCCCAGTGTCACCTCCTGATTCCCTTCTACATCTTCTGTGCATGGAAATCTCCACCCCAGAGTGGGATTTCAGTGAGCCCCATCTAAGATGGCCAGGAGTTCCCAAAAATGGGCCATCAGGGACCCGAGGAGGCCACGATACACTGAAAACTGGTTTCTGTCCTAAATTTTCAGAGTAAATGTTGAAATGCTCAATCTGACGGTTCCTTGAATTTTTATGCGATGAAAAGGGAGCCTGACATACCAGGTACTCTGGGCTGAGGGAAAGCTGGAGTCGGATCTCCACTTAGGGAAGCCTGGGGCTGGTGGAGCAGCCTCACCCCATGCAGGGACCACAGATGCACCCACAGGGTGAGCTGCAGGATGGACGCTGCCCACCTCCACCCTCCACATATTCTGCAAATGTTGCTCCTTTCCACAACGCCAACCAGATTTGTAGATGTGATGAACCAGGTAAAACACATGTCACTCGTCGTATCAAAAGCCACTGCAGGCCACCCTGGTCAACAGAAAACCCATTCACATCCTTATAAACTACACAGTCCCCAAATAATTAATCTCCTGAAAATAACAATAACAATAGACATGAAAATCTATGTAATACATCTCGTAATTTCATGCTGATAACATGTGAAAATGATAGTATTTTGCTTAATTGACAAAATATACTATTATATAAATTTACTTGCCTTATCTTTTTATATTTAATGTGGTGACTAGACACTAGGGGTCACAAGTGTGTCACACTGTTATTGGACAGAGCTGCCAGGACTGCTTCAGGTGACAAGTGCTGTCGAGTACCCTCGTGCAGGAAGCCCATCTCCACCAGACGACGTAAGTGTGAACCCAGGAAGAGGCACTGGGACAATAGAGAGGAGAACCTGCTTATGCAGAAGACAGTGCCCTTGGGCCCTGCCCTGCTCCATCCTACGTGAGCCACATCCATCTCACTGTGGATCATTTTGTGCCCTGCTGAGCTCATGACTGGGGGGATCTAGCAGGTCTGGCTGTGTGGTCACTGCTGTCTCACATGGTTCCGGATGTAACAAAGACCACGAACATAGAAGAGGTTGTTTTCAAAAGGTAAATAATTCTCTACTGCACATGACATAGACTTGCTGCTAAATCCCATGGGTCTACAGTAGGATTCTCCCCTGAAGCTTTGCCTTAAGCACAAGGTTTCAGTTCCTGTGCCCAATCCCCTGTTATGGTGGAGTCTGCTAGTTTCTCTGGCCCAACAGCAGGACACTCACACCCCCGCCTGCACCTGCTGCAGAGCCTTTCTTGGCCCCAAAACAATGGGTGACACAGTTCTCAGACCCATGATTTATGGTGTCAGTATTCAGGCCTCAGGGGTCCCTGATGGCTTCTCTGGCTCCAGGTCTAAAAACTGCCTCCATGACCATCTCTGGGCTCCAGGATGGGGATGATGCTGATTATTACTGCAGCTCATATAGGAGAGGTGACGCTTTCCACAGTGGTCCAAGTTCATGGGGAATTGAGACCCAAACTTGCCCCTGGCTCTCAGGCCCTCCCTTACTCTGAAGATGGTTCTTCACCCTGTGCTAGGGGCTTCCTGCAGCACGGCCTTGAGAATTCCTCTCCCTCAGCTCCTCTCCTTTCTTACCAAAAAGTCCAAAAGGAAACCTGCTCTGTGGTTTCCCATCCACAAATAACACTGCAGCAAGCATCCCTATGCAGACTACTTAGAGTTCATGCATGCATATGACCACAGGATAAATTCCAGAAGTGAAATTGCTGGATCAAAATAATGTGCATTTGTGATTTTACCCATTGTTTTCACATTGCCCTCCACAGGGGATCTACCAGTTTACAATGCCAGTCCTAATATCGATTGAAATTTATTGGGAAAAGTGCCAATTTTTGCCAACCTATCAGATACAAAAAGTTATCTTGTTACACTTTGATTTTTGATTTTTCCTGTTTTGCTTGAGGTTGAGCCTTTACTATTTCAGTGCTCATTGTTTTTTAGGATTTGGTAAACTTTTCTTAAATGTCTAGATAAGAAGCATTTTAGCGTTTGCCACACACGAGTCAACGTTGTGGGTAATGCATAGGTACTGATAGCACTGTAATCATTCAACAATATAAAATATAAAAAATTAAAATATAAAAACCAGTATCAGTTCTGAGACCACTAAAATAAAAGGTGTCAGTCCAGGGGTGTCCCATAGGATGTGGTTTAACGGTCCTGGTTTGTAGGGTCATTTGAAGTTGGAAAATTGCACCAGTGTGTGTTCTGGGTGGAGATCTCCTTGTGAGGGTCACTGTATTTCACCTCCTGTAGTGGCCTGAGGTTTTTCTTTGGATAAGAATATACGTGGACCATCTATTTGATTGGCTCTTCTGTCTGCTCAAGACAGCCCTGTGTCACAGGCTTATGACTTTCATCCTCATCCATTTCCTCTGAGTTTCGTGAGAGCTTTAGTAGATCAGGAATAGAGACTCCTCGTAGGTGGTAAATTCCAGGGAGTGGGTGTCGCAAATGGGCAAGGAAGCTCGCACCAAGTCGGGAATGATCCAGTGAGGGCTGAGAGAAGAAAGGTCTTAACATCAGCCTTGTAGCTGAAACCAAAAACACACAAGATCATTGGCGTTCTGAGCATCATAAACGAGTGAATAAATGAAGTTCCAGTTTTAAATGTATTGCAATTTTTTAGAGCATGTAGACTGTGAAACTCAGAATGTAACCATGGGATAAAGGAGAGACCTCGAGTTTTTAAGGATGTCGATAGTGGAAATATGTTATCCTGCAAATTATCATTTTGTGTAAAGGAATATTTTCCCTTTGTTAAATGGAGGAAATACCTTCTGAAACCTCCTTCTCTCACACTGTGAATGCCTCATTAAGCCACAGATAAACTGTAACGGGAAGGAGGAAACAACTGTCCTTTTACATAACCATTGAGAGCTTTCTTCATTTGCACACCAAAATGTTGATGTTCAATGCTAACATTGGATTTAGTAATTTCATATGCTTACGAGATTTCAATTTTCTTTGGGTTATGTTATTTCTGTGTATGATGTACCTTAGTTACCTGGGACGTATTCTGCTCTAAAAACAATTCAACTTTTTTTCTTTTATTTTCTGTATCAACTATGGCTCTTTCCCCACGCTGTCAGAAATAGCCCATGGCTACTGCTTATAAAATTCAGTTTTGTGATCATTTAAATTATTATGTACTCTAAATTATTTTAAGAATGCCCAAATGTGAAGTTTTTTCACATCTAACTCAAAAATGTTGCTGATGTTAACTCACTTTGTAGTTCTATCTTAATGAAGTAGGAGTTTACTTTTCTGGACACCCAGATGATAACAGGAGACTGGAGATAAAACCCCCCAAAGCTGTTTTCCTTTAAAGCCTCAGGATAAGTCACCCTGGAGAATCACCCACACTTAATATGAATGATACATAAATTAGAATTAGGTCTTAGAGTTGGTGTTTAGGAGTTGGGCTTTTGGGGTGAGGTGAATGTTTTTGCAAAGGAGAAAGACATGAGTTTTTTGGAGTCCATAGGCTGGGGAAGTTATTGACTAAATTCTGTCCCCCAAAATTCATCACTGAAACTGTAACACAGTGTGTGACCAAAATTGCACATAGGGTTCTAAAGAGATGACTAAGTGCTATTGATGAAATTAGGGTGGATTCTTATGCAATCTGACTGGTTTCCTCCTTGGAAGACAAACTTTGCACACACAGAAATGAGACACCAGAGGTGAGCGTGCAGAGGAAAGACCATGTGAGGACACAGCAAGGGGGCAGTGACCTGCAGGCCAAGGAGAGAGGCCTCAGGGGAAAACAAACCCACCAACACCTTTATCGTGGATTTTCCAGCTTCTAAACTGGGTGAAAATAAGTTTCTGCCATTTAGGTCACTAGCTCTTCTGTATCTTCTTGTGGGAGCTCTAGCAAATAAAAACAAGATGGACTGAAAGATGAGGGAGAAGGAAGAGATGGAGCAGGGCTCAGGAGGCGGGGCAGGGCTCAGGAGGCGGGGCAGGGTGCAGGAGGCGGGGCAGGGCGGGGCTGGAAGGTCAGGCTCTGAGGTGCATCTCCTGGATGGAATCTTGACTCCACTCACCACTGTCTGGAAAAATTGGAAAAAACATTTACCCTCCTAATAATGATTCACTAATAAAGATGGACTTTGAGCATAGGGCTCCCATCATCGTATTCCATATTATAAAACTCTTCTTGAGGTAACTCTTGTAAAACCCTCCCCATTACATCTGGCATGTAATATAGGCTAATAAGCAGCCCTTCTGAGTGATCTAGGGATGTACAGAGAATGCCATTCAAGCTGTGTGCACTAGGGGGCACTGTGAGGTTTAGTCTGAGGCCCCTAATGAGTCCAAGTCCCCTGGTAATGCTCAAGTGCAAAGGACATGACTGCTGCTTCCTTTGAGGCTCTGTTTGGTAAATCTGAAAACACAAACACACTCGGCCCTTCTTCTGATCTTGAGAAATTGCTCAGAGAAGGCCCTCAGGCTGAGGGCTCAGACAAGAACGAGGACAAATATTTCAGGGAATGGAGAACAGATTTGCATCCACTGCTCACCAGAGCCACCTAACAAGACACAAGAATAAAGGAAGTAGATTTGCATGAAGAGCCTCCCCTTCCTATGATAAGAGAGGCCTGGAGGTTCCTCCTTAGCTGTGGGCTCAGAGGCAGAGCTCTGGGGTGTCTCCACCATGGCCTGGACCCCTCCCCTGCTCACCCTCCTCACTCTCTGCACAGGTGCTGCCTCCCAGGGCTCACTCCATATTATCACAGTAGCTGTGTCAGCTGACCCTGAGCTTCAGCTCAGCACAGGGAGTGGTGTAGGGTGTGAGGCTCTGGAGGTGAAACCCTTATCCTCACCTCTCCTGTCCTCTTTTGCAGGTTCTGTGGTTTCTTCTGAGCTGACTCAGGACCCTGCAGTGTCTGTGGCCTTGGGACAGCCAGCCAGGATCACCTGCCAGGGAGAGAGCCTCAGAAGCTATTATCCAAGCTGGTACCAGCAGAAGCCGGGCCAGGCCCCTGTGCTGGTCATCTATGGTAACAACAACCGGCCTTCAGGGATCCCAGACCGATTCTCTGGCTCCAGCTCAGAAAACACAGCTTCCTTGACCATCACTGGGGCTCAGGTGGAAGATGAGGCTGACTATTACTGTAACTCCTGGGACAGCAGTGGTACTTATCCCACAGTGACACAGACAGATGGGGAAGTGAGAGAGAAACCCCTTCCCTTGCTGTGTCACCCTATCTCTCCAGCCCCAGCAGGACTGTGAACAAAGCCATAAGCAGGGCTGGTCCAGTTCACCTGGATCTGAGACCTTCAGGCTTCCCTCCTCTCCAGCCCTCAGGCAGGCTCTGCAGAAGGTGGGTTGGGATAGGATTTGAGGCTGGAAGGACCAAGGTGTTCTGCTGTAGTCTGGACTGAGTGTGTCTTGGCTCAAGATGACCTGAGTGGAAGGACAGTAAGAGGGAGACAGGCAGCCATGGAGTGTCCATGGTCTCTGGAGTTCCTCTTGTGTGGTGACTGGATCTAATGCAATGCCTGTCCTCTGTGGCCCAAATACCTTGGATTAGTTCTCTGAACGACTCATGTTTAGCTGAGACCCTCAAGCCCCAGCTCCATGCATCCTGATGTTCTGAACGGGAAAGTCTTTCCTAGTGAGCACTGTGGTATCACGTGGCATCCCTGACTTCCCACAGCCATTTCCCACTGAAAAATGCCATTGAGTGCAAATAACAGCTTCCTGCAAAAGTGTGCCTCCTTCAGAATGTGGTTCTAGAGCAATGACTGCCTGAGGCCTTAATCCCAAATCCATGCTTTAATTTAGGATGACCTTAAAACACCTCCTAGCTGAATGGTCAATTGTAACATATTCCCAGGCACGCCTCCCACATTTCTCTCCTGTGAGTATATCCTGAAACCCTACTGTATGTAACCCTCACTCTCAGAGTAGGATTCTATGGAAATGAAAAATTGTAAAAAAAAATGAAAACATCCTAGTGGGAAGAGTATCAAAGAGGAGGCAGTTGCACACGAAGAGAACTCTGAAGTCTGCAAATATTTATGCACTAATGAGCACTTGTGTGTAAAGAAACTCCCTCTGAAAGAGAAAAGAACCACCTAAAGACACTTGAGGGAATACCCCACAGAGAACACACACACACTCACACACACACACACACTACAGTCACAGAAGAAGGGCCTGAGTTACAGGGCATGAGGTTGGCCCATCGGAAGGAAGAAGGAAGGAAGGAAGGAAGGAAGGAAGGAAGGAAGGAAGGAAGGAAGGAAGGAAGGAAGGAAGGAAGGAGAAAATTGTACTGCTAATGTATTATTTGGCAAGCTGTTCAGTGGAACACCAAGATATTCGTGTGTGTGTGTGTGTGTGTGTGTGTTTATTGCATTTTAGATTCTGGGGTACATGTGAAGAACATGCAGGATTGTTGCATAGGTACATACATGGGAATGTGGTTTGCTGCCTCCATCCCCATCACCTATATCTGGCATTTCTCCTCATGTTATCCCTCCCCAACTCCCTACCCCCACTGCCCCTCTCCTAGTTCACCCCAACAGACCCCAGTGTGTAATGCTGCCTCCCTGTGTCCATGTGTTCTCACTGTTCAACCCCTGCCTATGAGTGAGAACATGCGGTGTTTGATTTTCTGTTCTTGTGTCAGTTCGCTGAGAATGATGGTTTCCAGGTTCATCCATGTCCCTACAAAGGACACGAACTCATCATTTTTTTTATGGCTGCATAGTATTCCCTGGTATATATGTGCCACATTTTCCCTGTCCAGTCTATCAATGATGGGCATTTGGGTTGTTTCCAAGTCTTTGCTATTGTAAACAGTGCTGCAGTGAACATTGGTGTGTATGATATTCTTAAGAACGTTGCACGTATATTTTATAATGTTACCACTGAAACAGATTTTGAAAAATGAGAACATGAATACCTTTAGAAAGCATTCAAGGATAAAGAGGGAAAATAAATTTGGATTGTATACATATGCAAAATATACTTTCAAAGACAAGCTTGTGGTTTTTTTTAATTCCTTAAATATAAGAAGCAGATATTTAAACTCCTTGCCTTTTATTTTAAAATTTAGAAAATGCTTACATCTTCCCACACTGAACTTTATACTAATACAGCTAATCTAATCAAGGGAGAAGAAAATCAAAACAGAATTCTCTTGACGAATTCATTTCCTTTATTTTTCAGACTAAACATATGATGAAAGAAATAAAACTATTTATAATTGATTCTGCTCTTTGAAAGTATTTACTGATCACTTACCTTGCACCAAGTGATCTCCAGCTCTGAAGATGAGTCAGTGGAAAAATACACGTAGTTGCCCAGCTTCGTTGAGCTTAAAGTTTAATAAGGAAGAAAAGAAGTCATTGATTAGGGACTTTAAAACAGGAGTGTTGTGATAGGGTGGAATTCTGAATGCATACTGTACTTGCTGTGTGGAGACTGGATTGAAAAATAGTGCAATGATACAAGCTTAAATTCATATAGACTATGGCCAGCCTGTGTTTTCAGCGCCCCTGAAACAAGAATGTATAATAGTTCTCATTATTTCCCCTAAGAAATCTCTGCAGTAGAGCTCTGGCTTTGTGAGAGAAGTACTACAGTCACCACATAGCGAGGGTGGGAGGGTGAATTAGCAAATACCATTTGGAATTACTGCACTTTGAAGGTAAAGCTGGCAGAATTTTCATACATGTCAGATCTGAAAATGTGTGTGTGTGTGTGTGTGTAAAGGAGAAACAGAAAATAAGAACCAGACAGATACAGAGAGACAAGATAGAGCTGCAGAGACAGAATTAAAAGGGGACCCCAAGCATATTGAGCTGAGAAACTATAAAATGGGAGTTACTATTAAACAGAATGGGGAAGAGCAAGTTTGGGGAGTGTCAGTGGCTCCCTGTGGACTTATTAATTTTGACATTTCTAACAGACATCCAGGTGGAGAAGTCAGACAGTGTTGGGTGTAGTCTAGTCTTATGGTATAATGTAAAATATCAGGAAATGAAGGACACAAAAATTTGTAAGAAAGCAAAGATAGCCGGGCATGGTGGCTCACACCTGTAATCCCAGCCCTTTGGGAGGCCGAGGCGGGTGGATCACGAAGTCAAGAGATCAAGACCATCCTGGTCAACATGGTGAAACCCCGTCTCTACTAAAAATACCAAAAAAAATTTAGCTGGGCATAGTGGCCCGTGCCTGTAATCCCAGCTACTCAGGAGGCTGAGGCAGGAGAATTCCCTGAACCCAGGAGGCAGAGGTTGTGGTGAGCCAAGATTGCGCCATTGCACTCCAGCCTGGGTAACAAGAGCGAAACTCCGTCTCAAAAAAAAAGAAAAAGAAAGCAAAGATAAAGAGAAGTCATGGCTATCTAAGACTTAAAAAGTAGTAAACATGAGAAGAATCCAGCAAAACAGTACTAAGGGTAATTCTCAAAAACGTCAAGAGGTAATGCAGGTAAAGTGTTCTGGAATTCTATCAAAGGACGTTTTGAAAAAAAAGGGGGAGATCAACTGCATTAAATGCTGCCGATACATGAATTAAGACGAAGGCTGAGGAATTGTGCTTCAATTCATCATTTAACAATATGGATTCCATTTGTGTGTCGAGAAGAGCAATGTTCTTAAAGTGAGTAGGTGAGAACCCATATTGGAGTCGTTTCTCAAAGGAATGTCTGGTCTCTAGATTCTTCAGGAAATTTTTTAGCGAACAGTGGAGGCACAAATGGGATTAGTTTTAATTCTAGGGTCGGGACACACTTTAAACCTGTGCCTCTGCATGCCTTGCATTTGAAGGCTAGGTATTCCATTTTCTTCTAATAACAGATACAAAACCTAAACCCATCTAATTGACACACTTTACAAAGACTGGTACTAGAGGTTGTTGGAGAGGCCGTGGTTCCACATAGTATCTTATGAGTCACTGATGGGCAGGGAAGCTGGAAAAATGTCTTTGGAAAACTCACCACACCTGCTCTATTTAAACATTCAGATGCCAATCACCTGAAATTCCAAACATATTCCATACATATTTCCCCAAGAAAACACCAGGGACCTGCATTACAATATTATTAGTTCAAATACTCACACTGGGTTTTCTGATTATTTTATTAGCAACTCAGTCTCTGCGTGTTTTCAGCAGTACAACCTCTATCTAATATATATTTTGTATTTTCAATCAACCATTAAGAAAAGTACTGTATTTTACCTCAAGTCTATATATAGTGCCTAAAATAGAAGACATGATTTTATAGATTCAACAGAATTATTTGTTGAATAAATAATGAGTAAGTTATTTATCGTGTCCACAGACAAATACATCATCTGAGAATACAGCGATAACATTTGTTATGTAGAAAGTCATTTCAATCTCAGTTAAAATATTTTTGGCATATGAGTTACTGTCATATACAGATGCTCACAGTGTTTATATGAAAATGTTTGGAGTTAATGCATAGTTTTGGTCCTTAAGCCTTTTGGTTTTGCTGCCATAGCAGATAGTGTTCCTATTAAGAACATGAACCTGAATTTTACTTCATTTTTAACAGATTCTTAATAAAATATACGCCAGACTGTTTTGTTTAATACATAAGCAGACACGCTGTCAGAAGCAAATAGCCACGCACACCACTGCCACCCGTACCTCTGATACTGCGGCTCCTGAGGACGTCACCCACTCCACCACTGCCACCCGTACCTCTGATACTGCGGCTCCTGAAGACGTCACCCACTCCACCACTGCCACCCGTACCTCTGATACTGCGGCTCCTGAAGACGTCACCCACTCCACCACTGCCACCCGTACCTCTGATACTGCGGCTCCTGAAGACGTCACCCACTCCACCACTGCCACCCGTACCTCTGATACTGCGGCTCCTGAGGACGTCACCGAGAGCTGAGGACTTTGTGTTCATCCTGAGCACTTTATAGACCTTTCATTTTCACCTAGGTATGAGATAAAATAATTAAACAGCAACACAGCTCACAATTCTTAAAGAATGACTCTTTTTTTGTGCCCGTTTAACATTACAGAGCGAGACAGAGTACACGTCTCTTTCTCAGGAAATCACTGTTGGCACTACACTCTGAAAACTTGTGTTATTGACTTTCTTAGAAACACTGTTGGGCTCATAATTTAGATGCCATCAAATCATGTACAAAAATATGCTACTTCCTTCACCTTCTCTTCTCCCCTTAACAGACAATTGTCAGTTTTCTTCCTCTCCAACTCCTTCTGTTTACTTAATTTTTTAAAAGCGTTCTGCACATTTCCAATTTTAGAAGTGTAGAGACGCAACATGTGGTCAAACTACATGTACAGGAAGAGTTGAATTACATGCAAGCATTTTTAAATAAAGAATTCCTCCTCAGTGTTCTGTGATTATTTTATATAATCAAATGTCTTCCAGATATACGTCCCAAACCAGTGGTTATCAAGCTCTGCTTTGTTGTCTAATTTTATCAGAATTATCCAAAATTCTTATCATAAATACATATAAGTTGGCACACCTTCAAATTTATGAAATCAAAATTTCCAGAACCTAGTACTATGCATAGAAAAATGTATTCCTCAGGTGATGCTGATTTTGGATCCGGGTTTAGAATGCAAGAAAAATTACCTTCCTTGCCCTCTAGTTGGCACTAACATGCAGAGTTCCTCTTCCCCTTTCACATTCTGCTGTCTCTCCTTCTGCACCTTCGTCTTCTCCTCCCTGCACTTCTCACGCACATCCCAAGCCCTCCACTGTCAATCCTCCTAAAATTCCAAATGGCCATTTGCCAATAAACTTCCCTCTGTCCCGTGAACAAGTTATGTGGGCAAAAGGAGAGTTTAAGTTTGGACCCAGCTGAATCAAGAGCTGCAATTAAACATTTCCCTCCACCCAGAGCCACCAGCAAATAGTTACAGAAGATCAGAAATTTCCTGTAGGTGCAAAGGGCTCAGGGTGACCTGATGCTATAGATCAAATCTTATTGTCCCCTTAAATTCTTGTGTTAAAATCTAATTCTCTATGTGATGGGATTTAAAAATGAGGCCTTAGAGGGTGATTAGGTCATGAAAGCACAGCCCCATGAATGGGATCAGTGTCCCTATCAAAGGGACTGCTAGGAGCTCCCTCATTCCTTCTGTCATGTGAGGACACAGTAAAGAGATGGCAGTCTACAAACCAGGAGCAAGCCCTCACCAGACACGATGTCTGCTGAGCACGGGACCTTGGATTTTACCATCTCCAGAACCAGGAGAAATAAATTTGTTTCTCACGACCTAGTCTGTGGCATTCTGCTTTGGCCCCCGGATTAGCTGAAGTACCAACATATCAACTTGTACATGTAATTTTTGGAAACCCTGTGATGCCAAATCTTTGATGGCAAAAGGCAACTGATCTGCTGGAGGATTGAACCTAAACGGTCCCTCTTTCCACAATAAACCAGAGAGTGAGAAATACCAAAACTAGGTTAAGGTCTTCTAAAAGCAGTACCTGAAAGGTTTCCAGTAACAGTTGATTAGATGGTAAGTTCATCACACAGACAACCACAACAAGGAGACATGACTATCAGAGATTTTCAGGATGGCCTCAAAAACACCATCTGACAACATTAGGGACCCCTCCTCCTAGGCTTCTTTTTCTGCTCTCCAGTGCCTCTTGCAGACAGCAGACAACCCCAGCAGCAGGTCCTTCAGCTACAGGGCTGCAGCTCAGCCAGATGACAGAAGACTCTCTTCACTGAGGCAGAGGAACCCAGGCCACACACCCTGGTCTTGGCCTCCATGTCTCCCACTGTGTCCAGGACACAGGGCAGCATGGGAGCTGCTGGCTGGGGCTGTGATGGCCACCGCCTCTCTCCCATCTCTTGCTCCAGCCATGCTTTCAGTTCCAGGGTTGAGGCCAGTGGCTAGAGCAAGTACCACAATGTCAGGTAGCTCCTTAAGGCAGAAGCAGGAGGGCTCTAGAGCTGCCTCTACCTCCAGTTCTGTCCCTGAAGGGGGCTCTTCCCCTGAGGCTGGCACTGCCTCACCAGCTAGCCCTGGAAGGTCCGGTATTGCTGCATATGGAGCAGGAGCTGAAAAAGAAGAAAGATTCACCAACGATACTCATTTTTCACTGGAATTCCCACACACAGAAACAGCCTCACTGAATTTAAATAATTCCAGCCTGAAAACACTGCACCCAGAAAGTCTCTGAGACTACAGGCCACCTCACCATGTGCCTGTGCTTTGAGAAACTCCAGAGGCTCCAGCTGGACAAGGACAATATGCAGATATGGCCCAGATGGGATCACTGGTGAGGTCTGGCCTGGTAGGGCCTGCCCTGGGCTGCCCTGTGGTACCTGGGGGTGCCTTCGGCCAAATGGCTCAAGGCTCCTGGAATGAGGGATGAGCCTGCATCTGCATTGTGGGTAAAGGCTGTCACTCTGGGCCCTCCTGAAGCAGGAGCCTGGAGATGTGGGGATGCCAGGTGCTCTGAGATCTGAGGGACGTGGACATTGCCCATCTCCACAGTCCACATCCTGTGCAAATAAATTATTCTTTTCACCCCTCCTTCAGCCTATCAATTTGGACACTTAAAAAGCCACCACAGCTCATCCTTGTAAAGAGGAAGGCCATTCACATCACATTTTTCAAATAACAGTAATAGCCGTGCAGAGTATAGAAAATTTCTCATCAATTAGTGTACTTAGATTACATATGAAAGTGATGATATTTCTGATATGCTAGGTTAGTAAAATATATTATTGAAACTCATTTGCTTCTTCTCTTTGTATTTCTAATGCAGTGACCAGGCAGTGGGATTCCCATGAGGCTCACATCATATTGGGACTGAACAGTGCTGGTTTCCCCCGCCTTCAGGGTACAGGGGCTGTGGAGTGACCCGGTGCAGGAAGCCCCATGTCCACCCATAGCACATCAGTGTGAACCCAGGGAGAGGCGCTGGTGTAAGAGAGACCAGAACACGGGGTGAACCACCTGCTTGTGCAGGGGACTGAGCCCTGACTTTGAACCAAATAAGTTTTCTTTTCTATGTTCAATCCTGAACAAGAGGGCTTTCTGGACTTCTATTTGTTTTCAGGTTTGTGCCCCTTCAGGTTTGGGGCTGTCTGGAATCCCAGCCAGGGGACACTGAGGAAATCCAGGAGTCTCACACTGACTCCATTGAAGTTCATCTGCTGGGGCCATCCCAAACTGCTGCATATGGCGATTTCCTTTCCTGGTGCTCAGATAGCTGCTCCGTGCACTTGCCATGGTTTTGGAGAAGAATCTAGGCGGGAAAACAGGATCGTGTATGTTACGATATTTAAATGGAACCTGAATCCATTAATATTTCTTTTAATATGAAACATTAAAAGAATTTTGTCATAGGTAATGGGGAAAGATGAAAAGCGATTAAAAGTATTTTGAGAAAAACAAACAAAAATGCATTTATTAATATGTGTGTCTTCAGTGCTGCAGGGTTGAGAGAGGTCCGCTTTAGTTTGCCCTGAGGATGTGCTCAGATGGGGGAAAGCAAGAAGGCAGGAAACACGCATCTCTGCGACCTGACACGTAAATCACAGCGAAATGGAAATAAGTCTTTCAATAAATCAACCATTCACAATACATATCACTCTGGTGCACACAGAAAGTCCTATTAGCAAACTCCCTTTGTCCTGCTGGGTCATACCCCCACGGATCACCTGTGTGCAGAGTGGACTCTGTGGTCCCCGTTTCTCAGGCTGAGAACCAGAGGCTGGGAAGGACAAGTCGCTTGCTCGTGAGTGGGAAGGGCAGGATTGGGAGCAGCAGATTCCGGCTCAGGACTGTGGCCCTAGTCGATGCTCCCTGTTCCCTCCACAGGGTCCCTCCCACATTTCCCGGTGTGGATGTGGTGCATTTCCTGGGGTGGCTGACATGCTCCAGGGATTCAGTGCTGCAGTCGCTTCAGCACAAAGCGTGTGGGTGGGGGTGGGGGATGGATGAGGCTGCACTGGGGAGACCAGAGACCAATGACACCCAGCAGAGAGTTCCATGGGGTGGGCAGCCCCATTTCCTGACAGTAGAGACAGCCTGGAGCTGGGTGCCCAGCAGAGGGCACTGCAGGGTGTGCCCAGGCCTGGGAGTCACAGAGACACAGACACCACACAGCAGAGACACGGAGGGCCAGGAGGTCACTCAGGTGAGGGGCTTCAGCAGATCTTTCTCTCCTGAGCAAATCGGGTACAAAAAAATTAAGTACTTGCCATCAGAATAGACAGACAAAGACTTTCATCTTTTCAGCTGAGCTGCACTGTCAAGGGAAACAAATCTTTGAGCCCAGACCCAGGTGAGGGTGGGGTTAGGCATGGAGCTAACAACCCAGATTTGCATGGAGGCCCCGCCCCCCTCTGAGGCAAAAGAGATGAGACAGGCTGGGGTCAGGCCCAGTTCTGGGGTCTCAGGAGGCAGCGCTCTCGGGAAGTCTTCACCATGGCCTGGACTCTGCTCCTCCTCATCCTCCTCACTCAGGGCACAGGTGATATCTCTAGGGAAGGGGACTCAGGGACCTCTGGGCTAATCATTGGTCTCTTGCTCCTCAGGCTCACGTGGGCCCAGCACTGGCTCACTAGTGTGTTTCTCCCTCTTTCCAGGGTCCTGGGCTCAGTCTGCCCTGACTCAGCCTCACTCAGTGTCCGGGACTCCTGGACAGTCGGTCACCATCTCCTGCACTGGAACCAGCAGTGATGTTGGAGGTTATAATGCTGTCTCCTGGTACCAGCAGCACCCAGGCTCAGCCCCCAAACTCATGATTTATGATGTCAGCAGTCGGCCCTCAGGGGTCTCTAATCGCTTCTCTGGCTCCAAGTCTGGCAACACGGCCTCCCTGACCATCTCTGGGCTCCAGGCTGAGGACGAGGCTGATTATTACTGCAGCTCATACGCAGGCAGCAGCACTTTCCACAGTGGTCCAGGTTCATGGGGAACTGAGACCAAAACCTGCCCTGGGCTCTCGGGCTCCCTTTCTGCTATGAAGATGTTCCCTCAGCTGGTGCAAGGTCTGTCACTGGATAAGAACATACACATTTCATCTATTTGATTGGATCATGGGTTTGCCAAACACAGCCCTGTGTCACAATCACAGAACATTGATCTGCATGGCTTGCTCTGAGTTTTGGGAGAGCTTCCATATGTTAGGAATAGACTCCTCCTAAGGCAAAGTCTGAGGGAGAGGGAGGGGCAAGTGGGCAAGGAAGTTTGTATCAAAGTCGGCATATCCAGGGCAGACTCAGAGAGAAGGGTCCTTATACCAACATTTGACTGAAGCCAAAACAGAAGAGAACAAGGAAGTTGTGAGAATAACAAATGAATAAACAGTTTAAGTTTTAAATATATTGAATGTTTTTATAATCCATGAAAATTCTAGAGCAGAATTTAACAATGAGATAAGGAAAAGAGCTTGAGATGTTAAACTATAAAGAGGCCAAGGCAAGTTGCCAGAAAAAGGTCCTGTTTTAAAACTATTTTAAGTCCACTAGAGCTAAGGGAGGAGTTTGCAGAATCAAGGTTTGAAATGTCATGCAGGAGGGGGCGAGAGTCAGGGGATGGGAAGACACACCTGAGCTCATCTAAGGGTGTTTACGTTTTTCTGGCCCTAGAGTTTTTGGCCATCCCTGTATGACCAGGGCCTCAGATAAGCAGAGAGTTTATCTGCTTCTCTCCTCCAGCCATAGTTCCTGGTTCCCCTGAGCCCAGGTCAGGGCTGCTATAGCCTTTGCATGCTAAGAGCCCATTTCACTGCCAGATGTGTTCAATGGACCGACCCAGAGTAAACAGTAGGAGGTTCCCCTGCTCTGTGACCCCAGGGTCTCTTCCTTTCAGTAGCACCAGCCCAGCCCTAATGTCCATCCATCTGTTCCTGCCCATCCAGGCCTTCGTGCTGCCCACTGTAAATGGCCACAGGTCACAAACTGATTGTAAATCTTGAGCAGATTGTCCTGACTCTGCAAAACGGAACATCTCCTCCCAGCACCAGGATGTCACAAGCAAGGCCAGCTGTGGGAAGGCAAGTGGGGGAGTAACGTGCATCACAGAGTGTAGATGAGACACAGTAGCTCTGATGTCTCTCCCAATGGGTCAGGTCCCTGCAATTGCAGGCCCACAGAACGGGACTGCAGGCTGGAAGATGAGCTCCCTTTCTCCTGTATACAAAACCGTGCTGTGTGCAAGGTTGCCCATGTATAGGAGTGTGCCCAGGTGTGTACCCATGTGTGAGTGTGCCGAGGGTTGTGCTCATGTTCAGGAGTGTGTGCAGGTGTGTAAATGTGTGTTCTCATGTGCAGGAATGTGCACAGGCATGTAAATGTGGGTGCCTGTGTGTGGGAGTGTGCACAGGTGTGCCCATGAGTGTGTGCAGGTGTGCAAATGTGTGTGCCCGTGTGTAGGATTGTGCCCGGGTTTGTAAGGTACCCAACCATGTGTGGGAGTGTGCCCAGGTGTGCTCCCCTCTGTGAGTGTGTACAGGTGTGTAAACGGGTGCACCTGTGTGGGAATGTGCTGTGTATACCTGTGTGTGGGTGTGTGCACATGTGCATACATGTGCATGCTGGTGTTACCAGGGAGTGCTGCCAGTGTCAAATGTCCCAAACTCACAATTTGTTTAATTTCCTTACTTACCACCTCCCTAAGACGTGCTTCTGGGTTAAACGAGCTCATGTGGGCAAGGCCCACAAGCAGGCATGGCATGGGCTGTAGTCAGTGCTGAGTAAGTGTCATCGAATATTGTCATGCTTACATGCAACCTTGTCCAGGGTGGGCCACATGTACGCCCCTGTCTGGTCCTGACAGAGCAGCAGAAGGGGGACTCAGACACGACAATGGCCAGGGTCCTGAAAGCACAGAGACACCTTTCACCCCTGTGAGCTTCACAAACAACCGTGGGTATGGGATTCCTGTCATACCTTTAAGATTGTTCAAATAAGCACTGACGATCACTCCCATATGAGATATGAGGTGAAGAATAATTTCATATGAACCAAACGCATGAAGCCCACACTGAAGCCTGCCGAGTTCTCTCCAGTCCAGTGCGATGGAGGCTGCATTTTCATTGGGACTTTTGAGAGTACGGAGAAGGCCTCAGGAAACCAGGCTGAGCTGTGGGTGCCAAAGACAAAGGTCTGGGATGTCTCACCATGGCCTAGGCCCTTCTCACCATGGCCTGCTACCTTTCCTCACTCTCTGCACAGATGCTGCCCCCAGGCTAAGTCCCCACAGGACTATAAGCCTATTCCTGACCCTGAGCTAGCTCAGGTGATGCTTCAGGATATGGCGCCCTGAGAATGAGCCCCGAAGTGTCCTCGACCTTCAGTTTCTGTGATTTCCTAAAGACTCAGCTACAACCAGCAAAGATGACCATGAGACACCTGTCCCCCATCCGCCCAGGAGAAAGCAGAGCAGTCAACAGTGCAGAGAGAGCCAGCAGGAGCCAGGCCAGATCCTGCATCCAAAGCAGTCCCCAATACCCACACATTCTCCAGCTCTAACCTGGGGTACAGCCCGCACCTACTCCAGGCTGAGGCAGGCTCCTCAGCATGGCTAGCCCATGACCGGGGATGTCAGTGTGTCCATGGGACACATCCTTGCTGCCTGCCTGGTCCTCACACCCCCTCCCTCCCCACCTTGGTTAAGTTCTGCTCCAAAGGCCCCAGGTTCAGCACTCAGGATACTTAGATTGGTTCCTGGACTTGCCCCCGCTGCTTTCTGTTCTCCTGAGCCACTTAGTCTCTCAGCCACAGTGTTAGCTGCTGTGAAGTGAGGAGGCTTATATTGAACTGAAGAAGCTTTTTTCTTCATTCAACATTTAAACATAGAAAAGAGATAAATGTTGTATTTATTAATTAAACCCCAATGAGAGGATGTCATTCAATGGGCTTCGGTCATGGAACTTGTCTTTCCTCTGCAGGGAGCCCAAGAAAGAGGTTCAAAAGAGCTTGTTTTCTGTATGGTGGGAGCAGTGGCCCCCAGCTGAGAATAAGCAGGAGAGCCTCAGTTTCATCAGGAAAACAGACTAGGCTAGTGTAAAAGTCCTCCTGGCAGAAACTCTGAGAAGTGTGGAATGAAATAAACATAAACTTGAAATTGATGGTGCTGACAATGGTGTTGTTAGCTCACAGCTAAGCTGCAGTGCAGGAGGCATCAGGTGACCGTGTGGATCACAGCTGCTGCTATTATGTGTGAGGTGTACCCATCTTCTTCCTAAGTGCACAGGAAGTCTGGGTCCCTGGAGGACGGCATGCACATCTCTCTGGA